ATTAACTCTCAAAGACTCGCTATAAACAGACTGAAAGCTCAACCGGCCACAACATTAAAGCTACAAGCAGCCTCTCTCCATTCAACAAGAATAACCTAATTCTCAAGACAACCCTCACTTATATTCAGGCCAGTGCAGTTCTCTCCAGAGCGGCAGAGACCTTTCAGCATAGTTTTTCTATTTATTTGGCTTAGACGCTACTCAAAAACACTTGGAGGACACGTCCAAGTGTTGTAATGGTAGAGAGAACCATGATCCTGCTTCCAAAATGGCATGTCTTCAGAGCTAGTTCTGAGAGAGCAGAACGTGACCTTTAAAAGTACCACATCGTAAAAGTACTCCAATCAAACGACTGTGCAGCAGTGTGCAGGAGGGAAACACAGTAGGAGTGTGCAGTAACAAACAGAGCTGTAGTGAACTAAAGAATATGTTGTTCGCGTTTAATCAGTTGATTGTAAAAGATATCTGCATGTTGTCCCTACAATGACTAAAATCAACTACAGTGCACTGAGTGACTCTACATGCTAGCCTTAATGAATAATAAATAAACATCAAAAGTCGTGTTTGAAGCATATTAAATTCTTTTAACTTGGTTATTTTATACTGATATTACAGACATGAAGCAGATCACCCGCCCATATACGAATGATTTCAGGAAATACAACTATATCAACTGGTGAGTGCAGCAGAAGAGCTATTGAGGAACATATTACGACATTTTTAGATGAGCTGCCTCGTTGGTTGTTGAATTGTGATGTATAAACTGCTGTTTGCAAAGTTTTTTTAGCCATCTGTTTGAGGAAATGCAGCCACACAGCTGACTTCTTTGGCATAGTGTTGATTAGTTTGGAGCTGACTCAGAGTAGATATAGCAGACTCCATCAGTTTGGGCGAATTCAAAGTTGTGAAAACACAGAGTGGTTCATTGGTAGCCTGTTCGTCCCACCGCTAAAAATAATGGAGACATAAAACCAGCGATAACCTGCCAACGAGATTTGGTTGGATGACAGAATATCAACCAACCTATCAACCAGTAGACCTGGAAACAACAGTCCTAACAAAGTGACACAGCAGAGTCCTGTAAATGACAGAGCACAATTCGATCTCCTAAATTTCCATCAATGCTGATCTCTAAGTTTGACGTCTCTAATTCAAATATTTTAACTGAGCTTAACATGAAACTTTTCCTTCCTCTCATCTACCCTCGTCTGCGACAGCGTGGTGCTACTGGATAAATCAACAGCCAAACAAAAGCACCCGGTGAATGTGGGGAATGAAGTCGCTGCCAGCTGTTGTGTACAAACGCAGACATGAACAGTGAAGGGCCCACAGAGAGAGGAAAAGTCTGCTGTTGACACAATAAACCTAACGGAGCCATAAATACTGCAGCTAGCCTTCCTCCACTCGTGCGCCTTCCTCTCCTGCACAGGCCGCTGTGTGATTATGCATGCTCCCTGTTCAAGAGTGGAGTATAAATAGTAAAGCGCTGCCCCAAATTGTGAAATTGGTTCCTCTCTTCAGTCAGGCCCCGAGGAAACAGAAGCAGCCGTGTAAAATCTTCCAGGCTGCTGCTTAAACTTGTGGACAAACAGCAGCACTGGGGATGTAGCAGTTAGCATTCGGACGAGACACTCCTGTCTGTAATTTAATAATGCAAACTAATACAACACGTCCTCCACATTAGTGCTGACAGCAGCCTGCAAAACACAGCACTGTAAAACGAATGTGTTGATGAACTAATAGTTTGGAAATGATGCCGTTTTAATCAATGTCATGAGGTTAAATTGTAGAAATGTTGAAATTCACTTTGTTAATGATTTGAAATTGATATGCCAATGCCCCATAAATGACGGCAATTACAAAGACAGTGTCTCATAAACAGATACTGCCATTTCACATTAGCAAAATCACGGCATTGTTTCAGACGTCCATTAGTTGTAAATTACAAGAATATTTCCAGGAAGGTCCGACACAATTTGGTGCCAATAATGAGTGAAATGAAGTGTTACAGTTACTAAGTACTTACTCATTATATTCAAGTTTTTAGGAGAAAAAAACAAAGCGGTGTGATGTTACGGTCAACATTTAAAACACATTAGATGCGATAAAATTTCTGCAATTATACTCAAATTTATGCACAGTGGCTGTAAAACACATTTCTACGAAGACACAATGCAGTTTCTACTTGCCAAAATGTGACAACAGCTTTTACGCTGTGTCTGTAATGTCATAAATACACCAAAAATGATTTGATGAGGGTTATATTTTAAAGGATAAAACCCCATGAGATGATTGAAAATAAATTATTTTCTTCATTTATGAAACCCACCCATAAATCAAGTTACTTACAGACTGGTTTCCAAATGTAAACAAGGACAAGACTAGTTAAGAGAAGTTAATTATTTTGCCAGAAATTACTAAGAAATCAAAAGCATTAAGATATCAGTATGATACATTACTGAATATAAAAATAAGTAAATGAGAAATAAACCTAGAAATGAGAAGCAAAACTAGCAATGATTCTGAGGCAGTAAATTGATATCACACATGATAATGACATGCAAACAATACTACAGTTAAGCTGTGAAATGCAAATATTTCTTTACTAAAGATAATTTAGGCAACTAATGAGAGTCTGATCCAGATAAAGGCGGCTGTAGGTGTATTTAGCCAAACGTTCACTTGCTAGCACCTGCACACACCTTTAAAAAAACAAAACACAAACAGCACAAAGCTAATAGCTAATTTATAATATACTCACCACTCGCAGAGCAACAGTCTGCCTGTAGTTATCTGTCCATCACCGCCAGTTCTTTATTAGTCTTCCGCCATTTTCAGCTCATACATCCTGTTCAGCCAGGCTCCCCGGACCTCCATCGTCCTCCGGTCCTGCCGGTACTTCCGCTTCGTAACGGCTCTGTAGCTTCCAGCTTCACTCCTATAAACCGCATTATCTGTACATAAAGTTTTAACGGACCAAGAAACACGAATTAAACACTGACGCAGCCTAACACTAGCTAATTGTTAGCTAACGGCTAACGGCTGCTAACAGCCGAACTTGGCTCGTGAAGTCAAACTTCCTGTCTTCTGCCGCACGAGCGTGTAATCAACCAATCAGAGCACGAGGTCAACCGGGGTCAATTTTTTATTAAACGACAGCGTTAATTTTTTTTTTTCTTTTTAATTTAGTACCAATGTAAGTTATTAGCCTCATCTTTAGCTAAATTTTTACTGGATTTTTTTTTCTTTTTTAAATAAGAAGTAAATCTGAGGAGCCGTGTCTGCTTGCGATTCTTTCTCAATCCTTTTTTGTTGTTGTTTTTATGTTATTTTGCACGTTTTTGGGGGGAATTATTAAAGTTTCCTTAAAGCAGGAGTACAACGAAATACAAGATAATGGGGCAAAATAATATAAAATGTGTGGCATTACAGCAGCAAAGGGGGATAGTGCAAAAATTAAAATGACTGTGCAAAAAATATCAATCAAAAGGCAACAAAGGGGACTAACTCAAAACTTTAAAAAGCCCTTATTTGTTTCAAATAGGTTGGAATTTAATGTCCTCTCCCCCAATTTAGGATACTCTGTTCAATGGATGAAAGGATGACTGGCACCGTTCTATGCTACTGGGTTATTACTGCTCATGATTTAATGTGAATGCACCTTTTCGTGCAGGTAGTTTTAACTGTTTTATAAACTCTCAGTCAAAGTAATATATCTAAGACTGTGTCATTTTTCGTCAGCTCATCATCTCCTTTGTGAGTATCATTTTAATCTATTAGAAAAATTGTGGCTCAAGCTGCTATATAAATGTAGCAGAGTGAAAAATGCAATATCTCCCTCTGAACTACCACATTGCAAATACTCAGCGAAGTACAAGTATCTTTACAGGACAGTATAGAGTACACACTTAAAGTATTGCACTTGAGCAGATGTGCTAAATTACCTTTCACATTTCATTAAACTCTCAACAGTATACCCACATACACCACTGTGCCTCTATTTACAAGCAGAATACTTTGTGTACAGTGGATTAGCATCGCATAAACACAGAAAACAATGTCAAACTGTGGAACGTGAGGCAATCCGAGCAGCTGCTGTAGGATCAAGTTGGCCTCAGTGTTTGTGTGCACCTGTCTGCATCTGCAATTCATCCACTTCTAGCGTTTGCTTCAGCCTCAACGCATTAAAAAGGAACTCCAGGCTTGGCAGAGACTGCAGTGGAAGAGTGTGCAGGCCTGCAGCAGAGCCGTGTATCCATGAAAGCTGGTGAATTCCTTTGTGTGAACTTCAGTGCGTCAGTGATTCCTCTCTGGAATTAATTTTTCTCGAGCTGAAGGAGATTTGTAAGCAGGGGGAGAGAAAAATGCTCATGCATTCTGTCTGTGGGTTTACTAAAGATTGGAGAGCTGTGGCCTAGATTTTTATTTAGATATCCTGCATGTGCATGCACATACGTGCATCCATTAGCAGCAGTGTGTGTTTCGCCTGAGTTGCATCAGTAGCAGCTCTGGTCATGAGCAGCCTCTTACATCATCCTATTTGAAGTCCCTCACATGCTCCTTTCTCAAATCTTCTGTGGAAAAATGTGAATATGAGGCTCATGTAAATCATAATAAACACAACCTTGTAACATTTACAGGAATTTTCTGGTGAATTTTCCATCAGTGTGTCTGTTGTTACTCCCCTCCATGGTAGAAATTCAGGGAAACAAGAAGTGCATAATATGCGCAACAGAGGTGAAGAGTGCAAAGTTAGTACAGCCCATAAAGCCACAATAGACACAATAAATGGAAATACAGCAGCTTGAAACAAACTGGAATGATCTTTCAGCACCCACTAAACTCTAATCTGTAACATTAAAAATACACCTTTGCACAACATTTTTTGCTTAAACTATATTGACACACGATGCTACGACTTCACTTTGTTGCATAAATCTGTTTTATTTTTAAATAAATCAAAAGAAACAAAGCAAAAAAATGAAATAGTACTGTTAATATGCTTTTCAAAAAAAAGGGCCATAATTGCACTGTTTGCATGTAACATGGTGTTTTCACAGTTTCCTGCGGGGAACGGTTCTCTTTGCACACCTTCAATCTGAGTTCAAAGCACCAACAGTTGTAGTTCAGTTTGCAGCTTGGAGAAATGTGACGTGGAAACTCGAACCTGCAGCACAAATACACTGAACTGGAGACGTCTCAGCAACAAAACTTTTCATTCCAAAGGAAAAGGAGAGTGTTTCATTCAGCTTTTAGTGGAAAATAATATATCAGACACAATTTATTAAGCAAAGCAGAATATTTTTATATGTCTTAAAACACATCTGGAGGGGACATTTAAATAACGAAAGAACAAGAGTCCCCTCACTTTTATGGAAGTGCAATACAAAATCACTTAGTTATCATTTCTAATACATATACAGCACTGTGGTCTTTAGAAACACTAAAAACGAAGACGAGTGCGTGACCTCCCCTCTTCCTCCTCCTCCTCCTCCGTCTGTCACACTGCTCACCTTCCTCCTGACGCTGAACTCTACTGTTACCAACTCTGAGATGTACAAACAGTCTGGAGCGTTTTTCCTGTCGTCATGTTTAATTACAATACGTAACTCGTGGCAGTGAGACACTTCGGTCCGCTGCCTTCAGTGAACAGTTTCTTAATACAGTATAATGAAATAAATTAAGCAGAATGACTGAATTCGCTCCTCTCCCGCTCTTTCACATCATCCTGTCACTGAACATAACTTTTCTTTTTTTTTCCTTCTTTGCTTCCGTCAACTTCGTGCAGTGTTTCCCCAAAATATCGTCCTCTTCCACCTCCGTCCTCCAGTTTCCAGCGTCCAAGATCTCAAACAGGCCTGGAGTGTTTTCACACCTAGTCGCTCAGATTATTTCAAACCCTGGAGCAGTTTCCCTGCATTATTTATTTTCTCATTTTTAAATCCGATGATGTCTGGCAGTAAGAAATGAATATGGTCTCATGTTTAGGTGGATTGTGTTTACACACCAACTCAGTAACTGTCACCCGTCACACGCCGGGGTTCAGGAGCAGGGGAGGCTCAGACACTCTGAAGTAAGAAATGGATTTCATCTGTGTTGCTGGAGCTGTTCCTGAGCAGTTTTTATTTTGCAGCGTGGCAGGTTGTACTGTCCTGCTGGGGGAAGGGAAACGATGTTTGGTTTGTGGGTTAAAGTAACATCCACATGAATACCCAGGGCTCTGGCAATCCGATACTGACTGACATGGTAGCATGAGTCTGGAGAAATATACTAGCCTACATACGACCTCTGTTCTTTCCTAAGCAATCTCATATCACGATGTGCACATGGTTGTTTCTGTCAAAACAAACCGTACGCTACCCGTTAGCAGCGAAGACGTCGGTAGAGAAACAAGTTTCTTAAGAAAATTTTCACGTTTTACTAGAAAATCTATCAAATTTTCCAAACACGCAGCTTGAAAGACAGCGTAGCGGGCCAAGACATGTAGAACTCTGATACCAGGACCAAAGGTTTCCCAGCAGATCGTTGGACTGCAATAAGATGATCAATGTTATTCACCTCACCTGTCGATGGTTTTACTGCTGTGTCTGATTGGTGCTCATCATGAGGACCACTTGAGTACGTTTATGTAACTACATTCCTACTACTACCTAGTAAACGGTTTTCGGTGTGGGACGACCGGGTGTGGTGGTACCAAGACTGATCTATTATCATGCTTAGTCTTGATTATTCTCCTAATTGTTGGTATTGTTCTGCTTGGAGGTCAGTAGGTCAGAATCTGTTTTTTCACACATAAACACTCCTTGCATTCTTGCACTTGTAACAAAGTCAATGCAAGGACTGAAAATTTGGGCTCAAATGGGTCTGATGTGCAAAACATGATGGTTTCTGAGTATGTTTGCGTCGGATAACAGCAGAGATATCTCGATCAAGTTTATTTGCAAATCTGAGGCTTTTAATATTTAGTATCTGAATCCCAATTTGATACCATTTGCCAAGACTATACACACTTCAAGTATTGTCGATCAGCTGTAGTACCTGGTTGCACCACCAGGTGTAGCCTCTGTCTGTTTGACACTATAGCGACCTGGAGGAGGAAGGCAGTTTCATGTTGGCAAGTCGAGAGCATTGTGGGGGTTTAGCTGTTAAAAGGGGGAACCTGCCCAGTGTGTATGTGTTAAACTAAACTGGGACTAGTCTGGCTTACTGGGTGTAGAATGTAGAAATCTGCCATTCGCTGCTCATTTCAGGTGTCTTTGTCGTTCTCTTCTGCTTTCTGTGTGTTATTATCTTCACAATGGGAAACAAGAACAACCTCCTTTCAACAGCCTACCACACTAAATATTTCACGTTTTGGAATTTATGGAATGGAAACCGCTGACAACATCTATGATTCGTTTAAAGAACTTCAAACAAGCCGGACTGTTCTTTTACCCCTACAGCAGGGTGATAGTGTTGCTGCAGCCAGCAAGCAAGACGACGTGTTGCAGCGCCTTGTGGGGGGTTTAGCTCGTAAAGGGGCACCATGACAAAGTCTTCCGTGATGCTAAATGACCGATACGTTAACTCAATCCGGGATTACCTAGGACAACATTCTCAGCCTTAATCTTAACCTTTGCCGCCTCTATAATGTGTCAGTGACTTAAAACAGCAAAATCAGCACAAGGCCTCAATATATGTTCTAAATCAATCAGTCACTGATTGATATTGCTGCATTTTTGGACAAAAGATTCAAATTTGCATCACTTGAGTGACACAGATGTAAACAAAGGACGGGGATTAGGTTTTTTGTCAATGCCGATCGCGCCCCGATCATGAGCTCAGGGTTCAGGACATCCCCAGATGACCGATGTAGAGTTGGTGTGCAAACCCTTTACCCAAATCTCATTAAAGGAAGTGATCTATCTGTGGTCCCACCATGCCAACGGAAGCCCGGCAGAACCTCCTTTAAACCAACAGTTTCGGCTCCAGCGAACGAAATGAGGTTTGGCATGAAATCTCTAACGGATCAACTTTGGTATAAATCTCTCTTTCTGCTGAGTGGGTTTGCTGCTGGGCGCTTCAGGCTCCGGGCTCGGCCAACAAACGAGACAAGCGAGGACCAGTTCCAGGCAGAGACAGACGGAGCGTCTTCAGGGCTGATGAACAGTTTTCTGTCCGTGCGGCTGCAGTTCGCCGTGAAGTAAAGTTTTCACCTGAACCCAAACGTCTCGAGGTTTTGGGATTCTGAGCATCTTCCAAAGCTTCCAGTGTCCGCTTGAGTGAGCATCATCGCACTGCTGAACGTGTGAGGATGGAGCGCACACACATTTGTCGATTGCAGCCCGGAGGCGTCGCGTGTTCACGTCGGTGTGTCTTCCCAGTGTGTGTGTGCGTTGTCCCTGCGTCACGCCGAGCTGAGGCTGTCGAATCCGCAGAACTTCCAGCGTTTCTCCAGAGTGGCGCCGACGCCGCTCAGCTCCTGCCTGAACATGGTGGGCAGTCGGACCATGAGGCGCTCCAGCTCACCTGCAGACACCTGAGAAGACGAGCGCAGAAGGAGTGAAGGAGCGAACACCGTGTGGAAGGTGCAACATGTATTATACATAAAGGCGGGTATATGTGGAGCTGTTGTTTAATAATACATGCGGATATGCAGCGTGTACACGTTAAGCAATTAGTCGGCTCATCAATTAAGAAAAAGATGGCTATTTTAGGTGCAACAGAAGAAGAGATCAAAACAATGCTGAATTAGTCCGTCTTAAATCATCCACTCGACAATCTCTGAGTCGCTGTAAGCTTTTTAATCATAACCTAAGGATATGTAAACTAATATCTGTAAAGTTTTAGATGGATGAATGAAAAATATGCCATCATACCCATTTTGAAACTCCAGAGCTGTGTTCTACTTGAACCAGACTATAGCAATATTTTTGTTTTTGCTTTTTTTTTCATTTCTATTATCAAGTATTTCATTAAAAAAATATTCTGTTATGTTTTCTATTTTTGTGACATGCAGCTACATACTCTGGTTTTTGTAGTTGCTGTATCTGCCTTTATTTTTACTACAGAACATTTAATGCAGAAGATTAGATTGCGATTAATTAATCACTCACATTTCGAAATCTTGTCATATTAAAGATAAAAGTCTGAAATTTTACTTCCCATCATGCCCTTGGATCAGGTTGTTTTTTTTTTGTACAACTTGTCATATCTGCTTCATCGGTTATGAAAGTTCAATGAAAATAAATTTCTTTTCCTTTCTGTGATCAAGTATTTCATATTAAAAACTATCCTGTGTGTTTTCTTCTGTATTACTGTGACATGCAGCTTCACACGGTTCAGAAAACATCACCAGTTGACTTCTGCATTGTCTTTTTTTTTTTGTTAATTTATGCTCAAAAATTGGACTTTTCATTGCAGCTTTGACTTTTATTTTCAGATTTCAACTCACCAATAAAAGACAATTTGATCCACTGGTCCAAATAGTGCAGATTCTACATCAATACCATGATGAGAAATAACAGACAAAAATGCAAAAATACAAGCATAAAAGCAGTAGTTTTGAAGTCATTTCTGAATCACAAAAAAATTCAAATAAAAAATCAACTCCTGAGCTCCATATTTCTGAATTAACCTCCAGTGGATCTGCTGCTCCTCCTGACATTTAAACCCCGCTGACATACTTGTAATTTAAAATGGATCTCTTAATTTTGTTTTTGTTAAAATTTGACTTTTTTGTGGAAATTAAAGAAATCAAGGAGGAAATTTTTTGCACATCATATCACGAAAACATGCTAAAAACAACATAAAGGACTATTTGGGAACTTTTAAAAAAAAAAAATTTTAACTTTAGTAGGGCTTTACTTCAAATATAAATGAATGTTTTCGTGTTTTTTTAATGATAGCAGAGAGCTGTGTCTTTACCTTCGAGTCCAGTCTCTGTATGTACGACCACAGGTACTCGAGGTTGGCCCCAAACGGATGGACGTGGAGGAAGGTGGATATAATGCCTACAAAAGAAGAAGAAGAAAGAAAAACGTCATCAGACAAACAAAATGTGACAAATTCACCATCTCACTGTCCAAGACGTTTAGCAGCAAAATCACAGGTTGTAAAAATCGCCAAAGAGAAAAAACTAAATCTCACTAATCAGGAAGAAGCTGCAAAGAACATGAACACCTGTTGAAAGGACTAAAGGTTTCATTGCTCTTTACATACACTGGATGTTATTCTGAGATGGGTGGAAGTGCAGGAATCTGGTAAAAAGTAGAATTATCAGCTTAGTTTTTGTTTGGCTGAAGTAAAAAAATAACTTCTGTTGACACGTTCAGTGATTTGATAAATTAATTAAGGCCTAAACTGGCTTTTTTCACACGTGAGCTGCAGAATTTGACGTATTTGAAAGTCCAGATGCTTGTGAACATTATTTATCGTGGCAGAAAAACCAGACACGCACGCTTATAAGGAAAATATTACATCAAAGTACTTTACAGCACTGAGTATTCACCTGTTAGCTGTCTGTCTGATCTGATGATGTTAGATGAGGAGAGAATAATGTGATTCAAGTGTCACTGAAGCTTCAAATAAAGAGACGAAAACACCAGATGTGTTTGAATCAATGAGAAAACTGTAACGTTTTGCACAGTAATACATGAAACAAGCAAAAATGTCCCATTTCCATCATGATTTTGTGTTCCTTTTGGGTTTAACAGCACCGATTGGAGACTTAACAACAGCATTCTGCATCCTTTGTCATTTTATTTTGCAGATTTTCTGGAAATAGGGTTGAAATTTACGGAAGTCGAGAGCGGTCGTTTTCCGCTACTGTTCTTTCTTCGCCGTTTTCTCGAGATAACGAGTTAATTTTCTCGTTGTCTCGGGATAACAAGAATCATTTTTTCATGAAAACGAGATAATTTATCTCAAGAAAACCAACTTCATTTTCTCGAGATAACGAGATAATTGGTGTTTGTGTTAAATCCATCATCTCATGAAATTAGATGCCACAACACAACGGCCCTGAGGAGGACAAGGAGGCTGAGGAGGCTAATGGTAAGTCGCGGCATGTATGTATAACTCTTTGAAGAAATGATCGGCAAGATATAGTTGTGCAATCACCTCACCTCAACACAGGCATCAGTATAAAGGGATAATTATCTCGTTATCTCGAGAAAACGAACGTCGTTTTCTCCAGATAACGATGTGCGGCCATGACCGCTCTCGGCTTCCGTAGAAATTTGCAACAAATTAGGATAAAAAACTGGGTTCTTGGTCATTTTGAAAGATTTCTGAATGTACTTTTTAAGGTTGCATCCCTGCTAATTCATTTTTGCAGAACTTCTTCTGCATTTAGGAACCATAAAACCTAAAACTGAGACTTGCGTTTAAATTTCTGCAGAATCTGAGTATTTTGGAAACAACGGTGCAAACTTTGTGTCTGATTGGGTTTAATTGATTCATCATATCAGACATCAGCCTTGAATTTCAGCGATTAGTTCAACATTATATTGTGAATTTTAAGGCTTTGCTGACCTCGTTGTCTCTGCCGTCACCACTGCTGCTCTTTGTTTGTGGTATTTCCTACAGCTAAGCAACCAGCCTTCTGTTTTATATTTGCACCGACACCTGCATTCCCAGTGTGCATGAACGCTCGTATGATTTCAGGCATGTTGGTATGCTGGAAGATTATTTCGGAAAAAGAGCTAAAACACTCGTCTGGATTGAGCTCAGTTCCATTTTAAAATATAATTTTTAAAAGCAGCCTGAGACGTCATTCTTAATAAACATGCTTGTAATTGTGTAGCTTTAGCGTTTAGCATCGGTATCGGTGAGTGCTTTAAGGACACAGGCTTGGCAAGCTGCAGAGAGAGCGAGAGAGCTGACAGAGAGGTAAGATGCACTCCAGTGGATATTAGACGTAAAGGTCTGGGCTCCAGCAGAGCAGCCAATCTGCATCCTCATGAAGCGCTGCACAGTAAACAAATGGCAGCGTGGCGCCATAAAAAAAAAAAAGTGCTGGCCGGAGCAGAAACCGCTCTCGAGTTGATTACTTCTGAGAGGTCCTGCAAAGGTAGGCAGTCAAGCGGTGGGAGGAGGAGGAGGAGGAGGAGGAGGGCGAAGGAATAGAGTGGCGTCCCCCGGAGGATTCGCCGTAGCCAATATTTATTTCCTTGATTTATGTGGCGAAACGTTGGCAATTACAGACGGGGCCTAATTCAATTCCTTCCAGCAGGCCCGCTCGCATGGAACAGTGGACCGGAGGAGAGCTGCAGGGTGAAGGGAGGAGGGAGGCGAGCTGTTTAGCAAGTTAAAATCACAAGTTGCACCAAGAAAAGTCCAAACTCTGTCGAAGAAAGTGGAGGGAAAAAGCTCAACGTGTGTGACTTTAGGAGGAACTTAGGGTCAGAACTTTAGAAGGTGTAGGTTCAGCTTTGTGTTCCACTACAAGAGGGATGATCAATACTGCTGATAGAGTGGTCACACGCAGCCAACACGGGGAATTAAAATGGAAATGTTACGGTCAGAAGACTTGGCAAGTAAAACTGGAA